GATCCCAATATCCCTAAACTGTTTCAGAGAAGGGCTTGGGGCATTCTTCACTAGAGGGTATCACCACCCCCTTTCCCACCGGAACAGATTGTGTCCAGGATGACTCATTTCATCCGAGACCCAGAGAACTCTGTGCGACCGGACTACCCACATATTATCTATTTTATAAATTATCTTTTTGAAATAAACACCTTCTGCTAGTCACTCAGGATGAAGTTGATTTCTTAGTGTATGGATGACTCTGTCTCTGACTCAGGTTGGAAAGCACAAAGCCAAATGTAATCATGGTTCGTTATCTAGTTTTGGTGTCCAATTTTCTCTGAGCCTGCTTACACACAGGTAGAAGAGAACTAACTATAAGGATGACAGGAAAAAAAGATGAAACCCATTCAAAGTTGGTTTTTCTAAAATGTTTTCAAGTGGAACACATCAGGAAATTTACTACGTAAAATAGTTAAATATTTCTTGCATCAAGAAAAAGAATTAATTAGGATCCTGTTTTTAAATCATTTTATAAGAATGCCCTTCTGCCAAGTCTTCTGTATTTATGGCTTTTTGATGTGAGTGCCATTTCCTTTGAACTTCAGTCATCTTAGTACAGCCAATTGAATGACTTCTTTAAATTGCTATTTTTGGACAAATACACAGGGAAATTAATCATGGTGCCCAAATAATGGTCTGGGTGCACTATTTCATTATTCTCGGGTTAGTTGGGGAAATATGTAACCAGTTTTCACCCAGAGAGTAAAACGTTCCAATTTATTAGAAAGTAGCTGTTACTTGAAGCAGTCAATGACACAAATGTAATAATAAAAACCATCCCTGCTACTTCCGTGCAGGCAATGCCAGCCAGTCACTGTGCTGAAACAACAGTTTTTCATGTGCTAAGGTGTGACTTGAAAAGTCTGTAAGATGTCCCTCTCCAGGACAAGGGCCATGACATCACCAGTTCTGGATGAGACTCCTTAAAATGCAAAGATCCCTGGGAAGGACAACTGCATTTCTAACACATGTCCATTAAAGGTGCACTTCAAAGTTCACTGGATACCTGGACTGGCAAACAAAACAGAAAATTTACAAATGTTTGCAAAGTGCCAATGAAGACGATAAAAGTCATGCCATTTACAATGTGGGCTCAACAAATTCCCATATATCTCACAATAGATTCCAAAGGTGGCAGACCACTACTAGAACAAAAAGTATATAGATCTATAATGTCCCAAACCCTGGGTACAGGGTTATAGAGAATGAAGGAATCGACAAAAAGTCTGAAAAAGAGGAATGAGCATAAAAAAGCCTGACTGAGCCTTCATCTCCTTCTTTTCCCCAAATCACTTCTGGAGTACATCTACGGGTAGAACTCATATTGTTCTCATCTCAATATTACAGTGTTGGCCAAAAAGTCATTTATGTTTTTTCTATACGATGGATCTAATACTGCTTAGTTGTCTTTAACTTCATTCAAAACAATTTTGTTATATTATGACAACTATCATATCAGCGTGCATTTAAAACGAACATCATAATTGGTAAATATTTGTGCAGCCATTTTAATATTGAAGATGGAAGAAAATAGGCAACATTTTTGGCATATTATGTTTTATTATTTCAAGAAAGGTAAAAATGCAATTGAAACACATAAGAAGATTTGTGCAGTGTTTGGAGAAGGTGCCATGATTGATCAAATATGTCAAAAGTGATTTGCGAAGTTCCTTGGCACATTTCAGCCAAACAATTCTTTGTTGTGGGGCTGTCTTATGCATTGGAAGATGTTTAGCATCACCCCTGGCCTCTACCCTCAAGCCAATAGTGGGAGATAGTCAACATACTCAAAATATCCAAATCAATCAAGTTACTGGTAAAAATGGAAAATGTGTCTTTTATTTTATGGAAAACATATAGTGGACTTTTTGACCAAACTAATATAAGCCCTTTTCTTTGCGGGTCACCCTACTTCTTTTGGTTAGCAGTCCTAGTGCCTTCGAGGCTAAGCTATTGCACAGTTTCAGGACACAACCCTTATAGAGTAGTGAACATGAAGCCTCCCGCCCCCTGCCCTGAGTGGTGCAGTACCCAGCTCATGGCCATGTAGTACTGCTGTCTTCCCTGTTTTTCTCACTGTCTGGATCATAACTGATCTTCATGGCTGATCTCATATTCTACTGCCTTGATGTGAAAGGTTTTTCTTAACTCTATTTTTATTTCCTATAAAAGGCTTTATCTTTTCATAAAATGGCTTTGACCCCAAAGTTCATGATATAGGTCTACTTGAAAGAAACTCTGGAGATGAAGAATAAGTATAAAGGAATTCACCCTTGAGCACCCCTACAGTGTAAATGATTTAGTGGTAGGGACACTGGACTGAGAGGAAATTTAAGTCTAGAGCAAATATAACAAAATTGCTCAGCAACCTTGGCAAGTCACATAATTTATCTGAGTGTCAGTTTTACACATGTAGTACAAAAGAGGTAAATGAGAAACCTCAAAGATGCCTGAAAGTCCCAATATTTTACAGAACCTTGGAACACACACTACCTCCAGAGTAAGTGTACATGAGTCATGTATGGCCAGTCCGTAAAGGGAGAGCCACTGGTGGCCTGTGAGGGTCTGGGAGCCAACTCACTACATGCTCATAAACGCACAAAGGCCTGAGCTGGGGGAACTTAACTCTCCTCTCAGTACCAAATCTTTAGATAGATTTTTTTCTTATCTTTAATCTGGAAAACCTGGCACAGAGCTGCCACATTTTTTACCAGCCAACTCATGTTTGCTAATACCAACTGCCCCCCACTCTCAGCTCCAATGCACACACACCCACGTGACAATGCTAATAAAGTACAGGTGTCTGCTACAAGAACATATATCTGCAGCTATAAATATAGGAATACCTTCATTTTTAACAAATCTAATATCGCAAAATCTGCACTTTCAAGTATACATACTTGCAAGTACACATACTTCATATGTATGTGTGTGCATATAAGTATATGGAGGATGAATTATTAGCTTTGCAAACGAATGCACCATGGGATTTCTTAAAACATCATGTCTTCCATGTCTCTTTTCCTTCACTACCACCCCCACAACTATCTTACATTTTTCACTTATTTATTACTTATTTCTTTATTTATTACTTATTTATATCCATTGTGCAAGGCAAGGTATCCTGTATTCATAAAAATTAAGGGACAGCAAAATGTATTGCTTTGGAGTCTCCTGGTAAATTCTTTGATGTCCTGGGTGTGTGGGCTTACACAGGGGAGTGAGAAGTAAGCTGATGTCATTGTGTTTTGATTCCCAAGGCAATCCTTCTACCTTCCACACAGGTCAATAATGCCTGCTAGGGCAGCTTAAAAAGTTGAACTCATAAATTCTACCTTTTTACACAATAAATGTTAATACACAAAACATTAACCACATTTCTGGGAGAGGTACAGCTATTTTTAGTAATGGTGGTGCCCTGGAAAATTTCATTTCTTGTTATGAAATGCAACTGTAATTTTATCCACTGGAAAATGGTAAGCTCAATCATATTTGTCTTTTTTTAATTTGAGTTTTATTGTGTTTTCTATTTCCCTTTACCCTAAGGCTTTCTTATCTATGTGCACACACAGGCAAGGACAGGAACAGGCCAGGCAAGCCCACCCTCGTTTAGGGTAGGGTTAAAATAACACCTCTGACGCTAACAGCACCAGAGGAAGGTTTTATCTCACACAATCATTATTCCCCTAGAGCAGTGATTTTCAACCTTTTTCATCTCATGGCACACCTAAACTAACTACTAAAATTCTGTGGCACACCAAACAATATATTTTTTGCCAATCTGACAAAAAAAATAGGTATAATTTTGATTCATTCACTCCAGACAGCTATTGTTGTATTGATTGTTATCATTTTTTAATTTGACAGTCTAAGGGAAAAGAGGTCAGTGACCCTGACTAAATAGTCAGGTATTGCATGTTTTCAAAATTGCCAGCGGTGGGTTGAAAATTGCAGCCCGAGAGACTCATGCAAACTAAGAAACTGACAAAAACAAAAAGGAAAACAGCAACTCCACTCTTAAGTCATCTTCGCCTCCACCCTACCCCCACTTGTGCCAAAGAAAAAAAGAAGTTATGGTTTCCTCACTTCCACAAATATAATTGCCTAGAGTTCAGGAACTCAGAAGAATCCCAGCTCTTTTTGGATCCTCAAAAACATACTGAATGGGAACACGGCTTAGGAGCTACAGAAGGTTGGTGAGGACGGGCTGTGGAAAGAACACTGGACCAACAACCAGGAGGCCTAAGGTGAGATCTAGACAAACCTTCAACCCTTCCAGGCCTCAGTTTCTTCACTGTAAAATATAGATAATGATACCCACATTTTTATTGAGATTGAATGAGGTAATGCACTTGAAAATGCTTTGTGAAAATATTAGGTCTTCGTAATACATTGCTCTGCCTATTGGTATGCATCTCAGTTCCTATGGCATGGTAGAAAATTAAAGCTTAAGGTTACAAAAAAATTAGCATGAGGCTGGTTAAAATGAAGCCTTCTTTCTCTTTTCCCTCTTTCTTTTCCTCTATCTCTTTACCTCTCTTTTACTCTACCTTCTGGAAAAAAATTAAAAAGCACTTGATCTTAGCTCTGCTACCTAATAATCATGACTTTTGTATAGTTTTTAGCCATAGTCAATGGCTAAATTAGATAAGCTCATTGATTACCTACTACTAAGTATAGGGACTTCTGATAAATTATTATCAAAATTATATCATAAAGAAATTTTCTGCCTCTAGAGAAGCTTGAAGTTGGAATCAGCATCTACTCATTTATTCATTCATTCAACACATACATACACAGTGTAAACTGGGGCCAGGCACTAGGGATTTTGAAATGAGTAACAAAAACCTAGCCCTTTTCTCATGAAGTTTATAACCCAATGAGAGAGATAAGCTCATAGTCTCTTATTTTATAGCTTAGTAACTTGAAATACAATAGTTGAGAAAATTTGACTCTACCTGCAACTCTCCTTCCATTATACTGAGTAGCTGGATGAGGTCTTCTTTGGATAACTCCAAGGATTTCTTATTCTTTTTTCCACTTTCTCCAGATGGTTTTAGGTGTCGTTTGATAGTTCCTGAGGCCATGACATCATCCTCCTTTCTATTTGACTTGTTCTTCTTTTTTGCATCTTCTGAGAGACTTTTATCATCAACATTGCTGATGATGGAGGATTTGGGGCAGGAGAGATGCCCGTTGGATGAACTTTCACCACCCTGGTTTCTGGATCTCATTCCCACCTAACACAAAAAAAGATGGGATATTTTTACAACCAGCAAAATTATTTTTTTCTTCTAATTACTTAAAAACTTATCGTAGCTTTACACCACCACCAATAAAGAAAAACCAAAAGATGAGTCACAGTTAGTTTCCTTATAGCTTTAATTAACGTATCATTAAAATCATCAGGAAAATGTTTTGCTGGCCTCCAAAAGGAGTGAAAATATGATTCTAACGTGACAAACATCTTGAGCCGAATGATCAAGGTCAACATCATCGGTGCTAAGTCTTTGTATGTATCTTTAATGATATGTATCTTGGATGATGTGTATTTTTGACAGGAAGTGATAAATGTGTTGTAATCTCCCTCTTTCAAACCATTATTCAAGTCTAATAAAGAGAAGAACATCAAACAGATCCAAATTGAGAGACACTCTACAAAATTCATGACCAACAATCTTTATCGAGGTAATCAAAAACAAAGAAAATTGGAAAACTGTCTCAGCCAAGCAGAGCCAAGGGACACAGGACAACTGAGTGCAGTATGGCTTCCTGGGGTGGTAAAAAGACATTAGGGGAAAATCGAGGAAATATGAATAAATTATGAACTTTATTCAATTATAGTGTATCAGTATCAGTTTATTGATTACAACAAATGTATCATACCAATATAAGATGTTAACTATAGGGGAAACTGGGTGTGAGGTATTTGAGAACCCCCATTATTATCTTTGCAACAATTCTGTGAATCTAAATTTGTTGTAAAATAAAAAGTTTGTTTTTAAAAGTAATTCTAAGTTAAGTCCATCAGAAAATTCAAACCTCTAACCCTGCCAGGATTCAAATGGAAGTCACAATGTACAAAGAAATCTGCAAAGGGTGGAGGAGGCTTGAAATGGAGAAAGAAAAAGGGAAAAGCAAAAGGGAGAGGGTGGTATAGTATTCAGTGATATGCAATCCTATTTGTCCATAGCCTTTTTTCCAAAATCAGGTTGTTTCTTTATGTCAGTCATTTACAGAAATAAGAAAGAGCACAAAGAATTGGGAGAAAACATCAATCATAAAATAAAGATTTTTTCAAGTATATTTTGGGGTAAAATAAGGGAAAAAGACAAAGCCGCAGCGAATTTGTCCATGGGGAGCACATTTGAGTCATTCCACGATGAATGTTTTACAGATTATCTGTCAGTCTCAGTGAAAGGACTGGACCAACAGATGTATTATTAATATGAACATACTGAACTCAAAAGCTAGGATTCAAAGTGCTGCGAAGAGAGCTCTGATATCCTGGGAGCTGTACTCCAAAATTGTTCTAAACTCTTAAATATAATAGCTTAGTGCATGGGCTTATTTAAAACTAACAGTGTAAATGGTTCTTTTCCTAAACAGCCAAGCAGCCAGATTTTCTGAAAGTAAATATCCTTATGAACCCATCATACTCAAGAAACTAAGGAAAGCTTTTCAAAACAGTGTAGGTTTATAATAGAAAAATAAATATGGTGTGGTGTTTCCTTTCAGATAGCAAAGAGTCAATTCTTTCAACAAATCTTGAAATCTACATTCGTGCTCTGTTTTTGAACTCAACTCTTACATTGTGTGTGTGTACTTTCTGCAGCACCGTGACTGCGAACAATGTAAACAGAAGAGGCGGTCCTTGACACTGGCCCTGGTTTTCCAGTTAATTCAATGATTTGTTCTTGGAATTTTAGAGCATCTTTTGTGCTTTGCTGATGAAAAAGGAATAAATAGATGTTTCTTTGTAATAGAAGCCAGAGTACTTCAGAGCAGACCTACTGTATTTCATCACAGCTTGTTTGTGGGCAGAGTGGGCTGACTTCAACTCCAAGCCAAAAAAAAAAAAAGGGGTGATGAACAGAAAGTTTTGAATTTAGCTCTTGACCTGTTACATATCACAACTAAGACACATGGGCTTCCCAAATTGAATTGTGACTCCCTATCACTCCATACCACATGTGAATTCCTTTTATCTGAAGTAACTCTCTCTACAAGATCTAAAAGCTCTCTGGAATGATACATCAAATATTGATTTGACAACTTCAATTTGGATCATGAATTAATAGAAATTCCAGACAACAGTTCTCAAAGCACAGGAAGTGAGGAGTGATGTATTAAACTTAATTATTCTCAGCCTTAATCATACACAGAATTTGTATTTGACTGTAGCATGTATTTATGTCTTATTTCCCTGGATTTTCTGTATCTTTTAAAGCAACTACAGCACTAGAATATTCTTAAAATATTACAAATGCATAACTATATGCATGCTATGTGCATTTACATAATCTATTGTACTTTTAGTTACAAAGATGCAGAAAGTGGTATTTTTTTAGTACCAACTCTCTTCATATTTAGTTCTTTCTAAAAATTTCAGTCTGGTATTAATATTTTAAAATAAATTTTTATAGTATTAATAGGCTTTACAAAATTATATTAATGCACATTAATTATTGAATTAATTACAGAAAAAACACATTTTAGAATTACCTAACTATATTTCATCAGGTCAAAAGCTTAAGTTTCTCATTCTCTTCCACATTAATTTACTCTGGCTGATGGAAAATCTCATGTGCTAGAGCCATGATGTTGATGTCTTAGGAAATAATTTTCCTCCATGCTGATGAAATTTCACATCAATTGCTTTTCCCCTGACATGGGCTTATGAATGTTAGTCCATTTTTGGTAAGCCAAATAAGGTCTACTATCTTTATGTCTACCCCCAAATCAGCAGTCAGTGCCTGTTCTATCTCAGGAATGCAAAAGTACTCAGAGACAACAAACTAGTCAATAAATGCTTTAGGAAGGAATTAGGCAACATGTAAGATGGAGAAAAACAATTTCTCAACAGTATAACCAAGGCTGCCATCAATAATGTCCACGTTAAAACACTTTACTCTATTTTGTAAGGAGAAAATGTCCAGATGACAACGAACTTCCATGTCTCATATTTAGTGACATTCATACCCTTCCTTATTATAATAGCTCTCATTTACTGTTTCTTAAGTGTTACACTGTGTGCTAAGCAGTCTACATATAGCATCTCATTTAAATCAATATTCGCATCAATCCTATGGAGTAGGTGCTATTATTCTCAGTTTTATAGATGAGGACACTAAACTTTAAAGAGATTAAATATATTTTTCTGGATTACACAGCTACTCCTAGTGAATAGAAAATATAGAATTTGAACCCAAGTCTGATTCCAAATACCTCCTCACTATAGAGCTTTCCCTTAAGTTCTTAAACACATGCAAATAGAAAGGGAGAAGTACATCCTGTAAACAGATGATCCAGAAAAATTTACAAATGCTTACGAAGATAATGTTTTTTCACTTCACACTACAAAGTTGGAGAAATTCTTAAATTTTCTTCCATAGACACTCTGCAAAGCTCACACAGCAACAGAAATTAGTTTGCTAGGTGAAAATACATTTTTTAAAATCATTAACCTACTCCAGAACGTGTAAAATGATGAATCATTTAAAAATCATCCTGAGAAAGAACCTGGTCAATTATTAAGGAAACAGGTTATAAAAACAGGATGCAAAATCTGAACAGGGACCGTCACAGACTTATTGTGTAAAAAGCTCTAGAGCCGAACAATAATAAACATTTAATCAGAGTAGGCCAGATCCTGTCCATTGTGCTTACAGGAGAGGCAGACAGGTAACAGAAAGGGCGTCTGACACTCTGTCGGCTTTTGGATAGTTGATCGCATGGATGCAAGTTCGGGGCATGTAGATAATACACTTTCTGAAAGAAGCCAAGAATGCTTTTGCTTCTCCTCAGTGCATATCCTTCAAAGAAAGATCTCACGAAAGTGGTTTAAATAAACTGAAGATTCTCATCAGGTTTGTAATCTTTTTTTAATCCTCACATAAAAGGATATGTTTATTGATTTCAGAGGGAGAGAAACATTAATGTGAAAGAGAAACATCGAGTAGTTGCCTCCTGTACACACTCCGGCTGAGGATCAAACCTGCAGCTTTTCAGTATATGGGACAATGCTCCAACCAAACAAGCCACCTGGCCAAGGCTGCAATCTTATTTTAATCAATGTAATTTGGGGCACAGATTCTTCTCTTTAATAAGCAAACTATCCTAACATAGTTCATGAAATACACTTACTTTTCCTTTTGTAGTAATTAGTCAGCAACACTTTTAATAGAATTTGCTGACTAAGGTGTGAAGAGAAGAAAGATCAAATGTTATCCCAGCCCTCCCTCCTTCCTGAGTGGTCACCTCTCTTCTGTTTCCCCCCATAAACTGGGCAATAACCAGATTACACTGTCAATGAATGACATCCTAGGAATCAGAAAATGTTTACAAAGACATTGGATCATTTTTGCTGAACTAACAAGTACTTCTAGAGCATTTGAACAACTGGAAAGGGTAAAGAAAGAATTCTACAGCAATCAAATACCCAATCTAGTTCCCATCTTCATTAGTTCCTGCAAATTGTGACATTGAATTTTCCGTAGCATTTTCATCTCAGCTCTTGCCTCCTTTCAGATGTGTCTTTTCATGTTAAGATTCAACGTAGGTCATGATACTCCCATTCCTACCACTAGCAAAACCTTTTCTACATAAGTTAGGTTTTGGCAGCTCTCCTATGCTTCTCAAGTATTCAGCTCCTGTCTGTTCCTAGTTTTATTTTGTCTATATAGTTTTTCAAGAATGTGTCTAGTACGTAGGGTGAAATGTGACAATAATTTTATTTGTATACTTTCTATTTTTAAATTAATTTATAGAATTATAAAGAATAATCATAGTATCTTGTAAAAAGGAAAACACACAGCTACAGAGAAGCCTACTTTTGACAGTGTGGCCTGGCAAAAGGCCTGCTGCAAGTGGGGCTTCCAGAACACTAGCATGGAGCTGTCCTCATTCTTCCTTTTAGACATGAATGACAATACCCAATGTACCCAAAACTAAAGGCAAAAGAAAACATCTGTTCTAGGTTTATGTGAATTTTATGATGCAAAAGACCAATCAAATCAAC